CACTTTGCCTTGTGTTAGAGTAAGTTGTAAACACATCTGTTTCTTCACTTGATTTGGGACTCTTTGCGACTGGCAATCACGGCTGGCATGTTTTTCTCTCTCATGTTATGTTTCTCATGTTGCATCTTGATGAATTGAGTTGGTTGTCTCTGAAGGAGCAAACATCTCAAAAATTAAACATATTCAGTATTCCAAATAAAAGAATCTGAGATCAAACACAAAGAAGTTATAAACTTTTCTGAATGCCAGAACTGCCAATAGTAATCCAAAAAGTGGCTTGTGACCAACCACCTTGGTGAGACCCCATGTCTCTTTGAGCCTGAGTTTTCACTTACATTTTTCACAAAAGTGTTATGTCTTTTATGAGGATGAAATGAAGTGAGATGTTATATCTGAAAATGTTTTGGAAATCAGAAAACCACTAAATGGTTTCAAATATAAAATTGCATTGTGTTATTCCATTTACACAGCCCCAATATTTAAGAAAAAATTAATAGGGGTTTAGAAAAATAAACACTCTACAGATAATGTGTACCTATAGCATTCTAATTCTGGTTTAAAGTTAAATGTGTGCCTACATGTACTTTGTGCATAGTTCTAGGGGAATCATCTGATCCACATTGTGTAACCAATTGTAGTGACCTGGGAGAATTTGAAATAGGACCCAGTGGTTCTGTGAAAGAGAACCAGTTCCCCCTCTCCATAACTCACGCATCATAACCCACATTTTGTGTTTTTATTCTTTTCTTAACAGGCTTCCATCTCTATCACAAGTTGCCCACAATAGTGCCTGAGAGCTGCCTCCTTATAATTGTTGGACTTCTACTAGGAGGGATTATTTTTGGTGTTGATGAAAAGTCACCCCCTGCCATGAAGACTGATGTGTTTTTCCTGTATCTCCTGCCACCCATTGTGCTTGATGCCGGCTATTTCATGCCCACTCGCCCGTTCTTTGAGAACATTGGCACCATTTTCTGGTATGCTGTGGTAGGGACACTTTGGAATTCCATTGGCATTGGGGTGTCTTTATTTGGTATCTGCCAGATCGAAGCATTTGGTCTCAGTGACATCACCTTGCTCCAGAATCTGCTCTTCGGCAGCTTAATCTCCGCTGTGGATCCCGTGGCTGTGCTGGCGGTCTTCGAGAACATTCATGTCAATGAGCAGCTGTACATCCTGGTCTTCGGAGAGTCCCTGCTGAATGATGCAGTGACAGTGGTGAGTAACACGTGCCCGCTGCATCACTCTGGCCCACCGCCCATCTGCATCAGCTCTGACAGTGACAGCAGGCGTGGCTCCTGCAAGCAGGGTGGCTTCATGGTCAGTAGGCAGGCGTCCCCACTCAGAGGACCTCTCACTTGGTTTAGTGCTCTGATGTCCTGTCCTGAAATTCTTAATACCGTGTTTGATTTATTATTTATTTTTTATTTATTATTATACACCTGGCTCCTTGTTTTCATTTTGCGCTGGCCCCGGCAAAGTGTGTAGCTCGTCCCTTTCT